AGTACACATATGTTATTACATGCAGTATTTCTCTTTCTCTACCTAACTTATCTCACTTAGCATAATGTCTTCAAGTTCCACCCATGTGTTGCAAATAGAAAGATTTTCTTCTTTCTCGTGGCTGAATAATATTCCTGTGTGTGTTTTGTGTGTGTGTGTGTGTGTGTGTGTGTGTGTGTGTGTGAGAGAGAGAGAGAGAGAGAGAGAGAGAGAGAGAGAGAGAGAGAGAGAGAGAATGAATGAGACATTTTATTTGTCCATTCACTCGCTGATAGACATTTGCACTGTTTGAAAATCTTGGCTATTGCGAATAATACTTCAATAAGCATGGGAGTACAGGTATCTTTTTGATATACTGATTTCAGTTCCTTTGGATACATACTCAGGAGTGGGATTGCTGGGTCATATGGTAGTTCTATTTTTAGTTTTTGGAGGAACTATTGAGTTGTTGGAAAAGTCATGACACATGTTTGCGACAGATGACACTAGTTCATTTTTGGAAGTACTAGAGTCATTCGTATCTATGTTATTGCTATGTCATTTGACAGCTGACAGTTCTAGCTTTATTCTAAAAAAAATTGAGTGATTTGGTTCAGTTTTGGAGATTTTATAACAAGTTGAAGATGGAAAGCCAAACTGTGCATTTTTGCCATATTTTACTGTTTTACTTCCATGAAAGGAAGAACGTGCGTCAAGCTTGTGAAACGTTGCATAAAGTTCATGGTGACAATGCTCTACAAGAACGCCAGTGCCAAAGATGGTTCACAAAATTCTGTGCTGGTGATTTTGATCTCAACGACACTCCTCAGTCAGGGAGGTCCACTGAGGTTGATGACGACAAACTAAAGCATTGATCGAGTCAAACCCATGTTACACGACACGAGAGATTGCAGAAACATTGAACATCCATCATTCAAGCATTCACAACCACCTGAAGAAGCTGGGATACGTAAGCAAGCTCAACATTTGGGTTCCGCATGAACTCAAAGAAGTTCATTTGACAGCGCGTATAAACATCTGCGATATGCTCATTAAACATGAGGAAAACGATCTTTTTTTGGAGCAACTGATAATTGCTGATGAGAAGTGGGTTGTTTACAAAAATGTGGTGGTCTTGGTCCCGACATGATGATTCGCCTCAAATGACATCGAAAGCAGACATTCATCAGAGGAAGGTTATGCTCTCAGTGTGGTGGGATTTTTAAAGGTGTCATGTTTTTCGAGCTCCTACCAAGGAACCAAACAATCAATTCGAATGTGTACTGTCGGCAATTGGACAGTTTGAACAAATCCATCATCCAGAAACGTCCAGAGCTTGTTAATTGTAAAGGAGTTGTGTTCCATTGCGACAACGAGAAACCACACACAAATTTGATCACCCGTCAAAAATTATTGGAGTTTGGATGGGCTGTGTTGCCACACCCACCATACTTGCCTGACCTTGCGCTGTTAGACTTCCACTTGTTTTGCTCTCTTCAAAACTCCTTGCATGATCTAACGTTCAATTCAGATGAGGCTGTAAATCAGCACCTTGTTCAGTTTTTCACAAATAAAGACAGGTCCTTCTATGAAAGAGGAATTATGAAGCTCACTGAAAGATGGCAAAAGTTTATCGAACAAAACGGGCAATATATCATTGATTGATCTTTGTTGTTTATATAAATAAATGGCCTTTGAAAAACATAGACAAAAATATGTCATGACTTTTCTGACAACCCAGTATATTCCATAATGGCTGTACCAATTTACATTCCCACTATAGTGTGTAACGGTTCCCTTTTCTTCACATCCTTGCCAACTTTTGTTATTCCTTTTTTCTTTTTTTTTGAAGGATACAGATTTTTTTTTTTTTTTTTTTTGTTTCTCTTATATAAGTGTCTGGTTTGAATGTTCCAGGCCAGTAGGCTACTCTGCTCCATGCAGCAATCAGGAACCTGGTAACTTTCATCTTTTCTCTACATCCCCCTGGGGGCAGTGCCACAAACCGCTTGGTCACAGCACCATGAATTGAATCGTGACATCCTAGCACGTGTATGGAGACATCTCCTTATGATTTGCTTTACATTTTCCTGATGATTAGTGATATTGAACACCTTTTCCATACCTGTTGGCCATTTGTATATCTTCTTTGGAAAAATATCTGCTCAGGTCCTTTGCCAATTTTTTAAGTTGGAGTACAGTATTTTCATTTATTTTTTGCTATTGAGTTGTCTAAGTTCTTTACAGATTTTGGATATTAGCAGACATATCATTCAGATATTATCAGTCCCTTATCAGACATACGCTTTGCAAATATTTTCTCCTATTCCACAAGCTGTCTTTTCAATTTATTGTTTCCTTTGCTGTGCAGCTCTTTAGTTTAATGTAGTCACACTTGTTTATTTTAGTTTTTGGTGCCTGTGTTTTTGGTGACTTAACCAAGAAATCATTGCCTAGACCAATGTCAAGGATCTTTTCCCCTATGTTTTCATCCAGAATTTTATGGTTTCAGGTGTTACATTTAAATCTTTGATCCATTTCAAGTTAATTTTTGTGAGTGGTGTGAGGTAGGGATCTAGTTTCATTTTTTGCATGTGTATATCCACGTTTCCCAGCATCAGTTATTGAAGAGTCTGTCCTTCCCCTATTGTGTCTTCTTGGCAGCCTTGTTGAAATTAGTTAATTATATCTATGGGGGTTTATGTCTAGGTTCTCTATTCTGTTCCACTGATTTATGTGCCTATTTGTATGCCAGTACCACACTATTTTGATTACTATAGCTTTGTAACATAGCTTGACATTAGGTGTTGTGATGCCTCCAGATTTTTTTCTCTTTCTCAGTATTGCTTTGGGTTTTCAGGGTCTTTTGTAGCTCCAAAGAAATTTTAGGACAGTTGTTCTATTTTTGTGAGAAATGCCATTGGAATTTTGATCAGGACTGCATTGATCTATAGATCACTTAGGGTTGTATGGACATTTTCAGAATATTAGTTCTTCCAATCCAGGGACATGAGATATCTTTTCATTTCTTTGTGTCTTCTTTAATCTCTTTCATTAGTGTCTTATAGTTTTCAATGTACAGGTCTTTCACCTCCTTGATTAAATTTATTTCTGAGTATTTTATCATTTTCAATGCTATTGTAAATGGGATTGTTTTCTTAATTTGTCTTTCAGATAATTTATTGGTAGTGTACAGACATGCAACTGATTCCTATATGCTGATTTATATTCTGCAATTTTACTGAATTCATTTCTTAGTTCTAACATTATTTTAGTGGTGTCTATAGGGTTTTCTATGTAGAAGATGCCATCTGTAAGCAGAGATAATTTTACTTCTTCCTTTCTGATGCCTTTTATAGCTTTTTCTGCCTAATTGCTCTGGCTAGCACTTGCAGTACTATGATGAACCATCCTTGCACTCCTGAGATAAATCCCACTTGATCATGGTGAATAATCCTTTAATGTGTTGTTGAATTCAGTTTGCTAATATTTTTCTGAGAATTTTTGCATTGTACTCATCAAGGATATTGGTCTGTAATTTTCTTTTCTTATAGTGTCTGTCTGACTGATAACAGGGTAATCCTGGCCCTGTAAAATGAATTTGGGAGTGTTCCCACCTCTTCAAGTTTTTTTAACAGTTTGAGAGATATTGGTATTTATTCTTCATATTTGGTAGAATTCACCAGTGAAACCATCTGTTCCTGGGCTTTTCTGTGTTGGGAGGTTTTGATGGGTCTGACCCTCAGCCTGCCTCAGGAGTGGGGCTCAGGGCAGTGCCCCTGGCAATGATAGGTCAGAGCCAAGACCTCAGACCCAGGGGATGGGGCTCAGAGCTGCAAGAGTCCGTCTCAGCAATGATAGTTCAGGGTCTTGACCTCAGATGTTGGGGAGTGGGGCTCAGCATCAATACAGCCCCAAGAATGGCAGCCAAAGAGTGACTTAGGATTCTGGGGGCAGAAATTAGAGCAGGGGAGGCTGCCTTGGTAATGGTGGGAGAAAGCCTGACCTGGGGCCAATTGGGCAAAGAGCAGTGGCAGCGGTGCTGTGGCACTCATTCCCTGAGAGTAGGCACAGCAACAACCAGGGACCCTGAGGGCGTCTCACTTCAGCATTAGCTTCAGGCTCTGGAAACAGTTGCAGAGGTGGGAGACACTCCAGGCTGCTTCATCAGCCGGGATCAGTATGTTGAAGATTGTGGGAGACTCTCTCTAGCAAAAGCGGCAAATGTCCACAATGAGGAGGCTGGCTGGGGTTCTCTTGCTCCTTCTCCCCTGTGGTGAACTTCCTTAGAGCTCTGGCTGGGGGATGGGGTGATGCAGGCAAGTTCCTTTGCTTTCCTATGTGGCCATCTTGATTTTTTAACTCTGCTGGGTTTTTATCCTGCTTCTTCTTTGTTGTCTAGAGCTTTTCCCGAGCTATTTTCTGCAGTTTATAACTGTTTGTTTATTGTTGGTTTTGTTTTTTTTTTTATGGGGGAGATGAGTGTTGGGACCTGCTCGTCCTTCACTTTGCTAACGTCACCCCAAATCCCTCATTGCTATAGCTGAGGCAAATGAGGTTCTGGGAGATGAGAGATGCTTTGATCAATAATACACTATAAGTTTGAGACTGGAAATTTTATTCTGACTCTTCTGATTTTGCTGAGGAATTGGTTGTAATCTCATAGGTGCAAAAAACAACAAAGCAATTTTAAATTGAATAAGAAGTGTGTTTTTGAACATTTATTTATATCTTGATCCTATTGTCTCAATTTTCAGCCTCCTGGTTCATAAGCGACAGTCCTTATTTGAATATAAAATATTCTTCTTGCTGAAAAGCCACCATGGGAAGTTATAGAAGTGACAAATAAATTAATTGACCATGATAGGATTCTAATGAAATAAATAATTCTTGAAAGGGCTCTGTGAAATAGGTGGTTGTGTGTTTTCACTGTTCAAACCCAAATAATTCACATTTTGCTGTTTTTTAATGCATTTCTGATTTCTGTACGTTTTTAATTTCTCTTCATTATTTCTTTGTAGGCAGAATAACCAGAACATTACAAATAATACTGGAAGTTGTACCAGAAGAAGATTATCATAAATTATGAATTAATGCATTTGAAATCTTGGAAATCTATCCTTAGCTCAAAGGGCTGAAACAAAATATGGATGTTCACTTCATTTTATGAAAATCCAGAGGATTTCAACTTTGGTGATGGACTTAAAGGAATCCGTTATTTCTATTCAGATCTTTTAGAGTATTCAAACTGGTTTCTAAGAAATTTAGTTATAACTCCATGTAGTTACAGAAAGCTAATATGCAACTATATCATGAGTTCACATGATTGTTGAGTCCCAGATATCTACCAGTTGAGTTTAGGGAAAAAGACTATGGAATGGACAATTACTTCAGTGGTCTTTCTCTATAAACATAGCTAATCATGGCTAAGAACCTTCAAATTGAAGACTGAGATGTTTTCTGTATATATGGGTTTTGTAAAAACAATTTTCATGTGATATAGATGACCATACTGTGAAACGTGTTTCCTATTCTTCTGGAGAAAGAAAAAAAAAAGACATACATCATCATTATGGACAGAGGAAAGGACATTTATTTTACATTGGCATTGCATCCCCTTAGATACCAACTAGATACCACTCATCGTTTAATGGATGATACTCAGAGCATTTTGAACAAAGGACAGAGGGAATATTCCCAATTTTAATGAATGCATTAAAGAAAAGGTTCTAGGGGTTATTGTTGATGAGACAAATTAAGGAATTTATGTTTAAGTAAAAATCCTTGTGAACTTATGATGTTAGGATTTTTTTCATTCATCATCAGGAAGTTACATGGTTATGCACCATTGTGCTTTCACAGCAGCCCATTGGATCAGGAAGGGATGTAACACCTTTCTTACAGCAAAGCAATAGTCAGTTTGGTATTAAATCCTCCTAAGCACAATCACCTGTTTCATGAACAATTTACCATTGATAAATATATCTAAATACGTGCATTTTCAAATCTTCAAATTACAATATCAACGTAAGGCAGAAAACACCAAAAAAGAAAATGCCTGAAACATTCTGCAACCCTATAATCACATCTATATGCAATGTTAGTAATTCCGAACAAGTTTTTTATTTCATAGCTATTTTTACATGGTGATGGATTTTGACAGGTTGTACATTTTTTTTATACATTTTATATTCTGTTAAAATATCTCTTCGGATAAAGCTGTCCAGATCAATTAGGAAAAGGCATGTATTTACATAAAAATTGAGGAAGAAATGTCACTGCTAAGTAAGATTTACAACTGATGTTTCTAAAAATTTTCCACTTTTATATCTAGGCTTTGTCAGTAATTTCCTCACCTTAATTATCATTTCACTTGCAAAAGAGATAACTGATAACAGAGTCACTGAAAGTAAAAGAAACTGTGCATGAATGTGTGTATCCAGACATATCCAGTATGTCTTTTATACTAGGTTTGGATACTGTGGAATTTTCAAATGATAGTAATATCATGACGCCATTTGTTAACTGTTGTTTACATACATCTAAGATTGAATAGTCATAGCCAGAGTATGTTCCATTCTTTAAATTTTTTTGTCCATTTGAAAATAAGAATTTATGAAAGAATTACACTGATTAAAATCATTAAGAGATGTAGAGTTCATAGACAATTGACCAAAGTAGTAATGATAATTTATAATTTCAGTCAATACTAATTCATTAATTTCAGTTTTTGCTCTTGATAACATTTAATATATATCCAAGGTTGACATTCTGTCAGCCAAACCTAGTGTTTAGGTCTCTAAGTGAATTCATAAAAGTCCTCCCATTTTCTCTTACAGTTGGGGCTTAAAATTTTATCTGTAGTCTCTATTTCCTATGTCCACTTATCCACATCTCTGCCCACTATATTGTTTCTGGAGGTAAAAATAGATTTCCTTTATATTCCTATTTTTAACAGTCTAGGCCCATATAATCTAAACCTGAAAACTCTTCTTGATTTTTTTTGTGTAATGAAAAAAAAAAAGGTAAAGTCTCATGGAGAGGTTTGTGTGGTTCTTGAATATTCCTGAGGTTAATGTGCTTATATCAACAGTGGCAGAGAGATCTCCTCCTTTTATTTGCTTATTTTTGGATCTAATTCCTCTTTGAATATATCATTGTACAAGCTAACTAAAATGCATAGTCATTTTTGTTTCCATCATTATGAACAATTGTTTTTCATTGTTAACCTTCTAGTCCCATTGTCATACCATGTTAACTAATTTTTAACAGTTAGTAATTTTTAAAGAAGGTGATGGAAATTAAGTTGTACTTCAACTTATTTTGAAGATACACCATGACAAGACACAGGGTTTCTGTAATCAGGGAATCGACATTCACAATGGTTATTCAGAATGGGATCATGTCCTAGAAAAGATGGCAGACTCCAGTACCAAACACTAATGTTAGGTGTGTGCATGCACCGCTGTGCATAATGTGCTTGTCCTGTATCTCCCCCACCCCCGCTGGCACAAAATTAGAACAGATTAAAAGGTTATATTAGAAATGCATGACAGCTTAACACTAAAATCTATATGTTGAAACCAATTTCCAGATTGTCTTTGTGTGCCTGGTAAAATAGTTTCCCCAATTGCCATTTGATGTATCCACAGATGGTTAACATGAGTGTAGTTACATCCCCTCAACAGAATTCTTCATGAGCTGTAATCAGTCTTCAGGAAACTCATTATTTTATCTCTATTTGCAGACGAATATAATGCGAAGAAAGGGAGAGTCTTTGACCTATAGTTGATTTCTTATAATTGAAGTAAAGGTTATGAAAAGATAGAAAACTAAAGGTCAGAGTAGCAGGAAACGAAAGTAGTATGTGATTGGAGGTAACAGTATTTTGGCATAATTTATTATGCAGTATAGTCAGAGAAATATTAAAAACTACCTGTCTGCTGTGCATAGGTGGATATTCCTGAGAAGCTAATGAAACACAAGCTTCAGCGGCTCTCACTTAGACATGCCCCTGCCAAGGTCCTGTACCTAATTTTGCACTAGGAATTTTGTACTAATTTTTTTGAAAAAGATCTGCAACATTGTATATACTTCTGGCCCTACAAAATCTGCATTTATCTTTGTAAGTAAAGTCAAATACTCTCATTACTATTTCTATTAGAAATAAGCGTGGGTATTTTTTTTAAGGATAAATTTTTAAGAATTTTATTAAAATATAGTTAACATGCAATGTTATATTAATTTCAGGTATACACAATAGTTATTCAACATTTATAGACCTAAAGAAGTGATCACCATGATATGTCCAGCAACCTGTAGGATATATTTTTACGTAAAGCTGTGAGTTAGTTGAAGTATCTATCTCTATATAAGTGGCTTTCTCATAATATATATTATGTGATATATAAGGAGAGAGTTTCACCTTTGAGATATTTAATGTGTCAGTTCTGAATGATAGAAAAACAATGAGTGGGATTTCTGTTGTAGCTCTTTTTCTTAGTTTGGAAAGAAATAGAGAGAGATTTGGGATTTGAATGCTGATGAGTCAAGAAATTTACTTTTTCTTAAATATAATCTTGCTTCGTTTTACCTAGATGATATGCTGTATGTTGGTGCTGGTAATGTTTACAGAGTTACATTTGACCTCCTAACCAAAGTTAGGAATGAAAGCATGTCATTGTGTGACTGGCAACAAGCTCATGGTGGATATAAATTAGAGTAGATAATGAGTCATCTTGACAGCCTCCATTTTCAATATTTATAGGTAAAAGAATTATTACCTATAAATATTTTTAGGATAATTTTCCCATAAACAGTATTTTTTAATCTTTCCCAATATATATATATAATATCTAAAAATGTAACCTCTGGGTAGTATTCATTATGTATTTAAAAAGCAAATTTTTGGAGATAATCCTTCTTTTTTATTGCATTTTCAAATCAGTTGGCATCAGAAAGTCAATGCTTGGTCTATTTTTAGATTTGGTATAAATTCACAAAGGCATAAATCATGCCCTCACAGAAAATTCACCAGTTTTCCATATGTTGTGAGATACTTGTCCTTCTTTACAACCTCGTAAGGATATTAACTTGATCTTTTTGAGCCATTTCTCTGTTTTCTTGAATGAATCAGTGATTCCCTTTGTGTTATTTTTTTGGCGTGATATCCTCAAGATAGGAGTAAGTCTTAATTTGGATTTACACAACTACTGATACTCTTAGTACAAAATTAACCACTTAGGTTTACTTCACTGGTTGTCCCTGCCCCCCTCCCTTCTTCATTACCGTTGGCTTTAAAATATCACTGGAGGATGGTTACAGTCCCCAAATAGTTGTTTGTTACATGTGTGTGTTTCAGCTACGTGGATGGAGGGTCATTTATCGTATCAATAGCTGCCTTAACCACTTTATAGATATCAATTCTCACAAGAAACTGTGGAGCGCTAGGCATCTGATCGCCCTGCAGATGGACCCACTTGGAAGTGAACATACTTTTTTTTTCCCCTCAACATATACACTACTGATTTTTTTTTAAGTATGATTTTCAAGTGAATTAATTTATTGGTTAGAAGACTTGCTTGCCAAGTCCTTGTTAGCTCTTGCTGAAGCCTCTAAAGGCCATGCTGAAAGCTAGAGAAAAAAAACGACTAATGCATAGTTATCTCTTATGCAGCAGTGACTGTATTTTGAGCACCGTGTGCCACAGGGTATTTTGCACAGCGTCTGGTGGGAAACCACATCCGGCCGCTGTGTGTTACAGCTGTAACGGCTAGTTTAGGAGTGGTCTGACTTCAATGAGGATTGTGAGATTAGACCTCCCTTACTCCTGCTAAATTTTTGGCGCACACCCAGAAGCAGATTTGTCTTGCACTGGGAGGCAATGCAACATGTTCCCTGGTTCTCGGATTGAACTAATTTCAAAGGGTTTCTGAGTTCTTCTTCCCCTGCATTTTTCCTTCATTCCACATTTCTGTGTACTGACTAATGTAATATAAAGAATAGTTTATAAAAAGTAGAGAAATTGTTTGGAGAGATAAAACACAGATTGTTTCAAATGAATGAATGTATGCTTATAAGAGAATAGGAATGATCTACATTCAACTACTGTGTATACTCATAATTTTAAGCACTACCACAGTACTTCTAGTTGTTCTAGAAGCAAAAAAAAAAAAACCAAACAAACCCCACAATATGTATAACTACGGTTATCATACAAACTATGAGAATCCTCCAAAATTTTTAAGTAGCCTGGGATTATTTTGATCCTTCCTCGGAGAAACATTTAACCTAATAGGTTTCCCCAGTGACTGCCATAAATCAGGAGCTAAACTGTTAATACTTACGTCTTGAAAACCAGGTCCTTCTTTTGACATTATCCCTATCGCTCAACTCTGAGGCTATTTGAGGCCAATGCCTGCGTTCAAAGTGGCTGGTGATTTTGAACACAGGCACTGAACCCCACCCCACACCCCTGCCCCATTTGTATCTCTTTGTAAATTGATTGCAGCTCAATGGTAATGGGTTTTCAGTGGTACCCCTCTGATATTTTGAGAATTTGTGAACATAAGCATCAGATGTGCTAAGCGTGTGTTGTTTAGTACTGTGAAATAAAATGTCTTCTTTTTATGCCCAACTGATGAACAAACAGATAGTTGAGTTTTACTGATACGAAATGTTGGCTACTTGTGGCTTTATAATAAGCACAAGTCAGAGAAAGGCAAGCCTCGTGGCTGCCTAGACTCAATGCTTGGGGAATTTAAGGCATCCTACCTTCCTGACAAAGATTTGGCTCAAGATTTTACAGAGCTTGGTTTTTGCTTATCACTGAGTGGGTTAGATGGTAGCGAAGCACTGGTAGAGATGGTTTTTAGGTATTGACTCCGAATTCATCTCGTGATGAATCTTCCATGCCTTTTTATAGTAAGTAGATCTGCTTATAAAAATGGGCTTAGTGAGCTCTGTGTTAAAATTTGACCTAGTAAAACAGTAACTTTTTCAATTATCAAGGGGGTAGCAAAGTCCGTATGTGTGTTGGTATGTTCATATTAACATGTTATGAGGTACTGTATATGAATGTATTTAAATGTCTTTTATATGCTATGGCAAGCGTCGGTAATAGGCACCAGTGGAATCAGTGTAGCCCAGCGGGAAGTGGTAACCGGGCCATTCTGAAGTTGTGCTGGCAGCCATGTCCTTGATCTGTGCTTACATTGTAGTTTATAGACCAGCTATACCCCTTCAACTTGGATCTGGAATGCATTTGTCATGACCTTGTACCGTTTCCCTAATTGAGGGGCCGGGAAATAAATGGTGGGCTTGGCTGGGAGACCTAAACTACAGGCAGAGGGAATGCCAGCGGAGGGAGAGTGAGCCTCAGACTCCTGAGTGGTCCTCCTCTGTGGCAGCGTGTCTTCCCTGGCATGTGATAGTGAAACATGGTACGGGGGATTGGGTGTGTGTTATACAGATTTTACACACGTCTATGCTGATAGATTCCTAAAGAGCAAAATGCCTTTTCTGCACCTACAGTCTAACTGTATTCAGAGTAGCAAGATATTTAACTCTGAAAATGTAAGTGGTGCAGAGGGACTGTCATTTGTGGATGGTGTTGTCTTTCTTAGGATTCGCTGGCACCGATGCCTATCCCAGCATGTGAGATGTGGAATAAAGTGGATTTTTCTGCTGCTTAATGATTTCCCTCTGGGGGGAGTTCTGGTGCAGCAACCACACTGCCAGATGGCGTTTATGGGCTATTTGTGTAAGTGGTAAGATACTATGAAATAAGTGTGATTTCATCTGGTGGAAACTCTTAGCGCATGTGTTTTTGTATGGAGTAAATTTTGGTGCAATATGATGTCACTTAATTTTGTATTGAATTTCATTTCAATTGTGTTTATATAATATATAGATATATATACTTGTCATGCTTCTGGCTGCTTCAATTTTTGTATGTATATTTTTGTATATATTTTTACTTGAAACTATTTTAAGTGGAAATTAAATAAACATTTGATAGTTGACATAATGAAAATGATGTTTTGTTTTGTTTTTTAATACTGTATATTTCCTTAAACTGAAGGTTTGGGTTTTAATGATTAGATGGATCTATCACTGATTCTGTGAATTTGTTAGAGTCTCCCACTTATCATCAATTTCCTGAACTAAAAAACTGAAAATGGCGGCAGACTCAGTAAACGCTGTAGACAGTCTTCTTTTTCATGGCCTATATCCATCTGCAACTTCTTTCTCCTGTTTTCATCGGTCTTATATCTTGCCTCTTAACAGAAGTTTCATTTCTTGTCTATCTCTCAGCCTTTACATTTCCCCAGAATGATGTTTCTGAAACACAAATACTATAAAAGTCTTCAGTGGTTTTAATTTTTTTTTTTAATGGATGGATAAAATCCAAACTCCTCTGTATAACAAACAGGGCTTTCCGTAATCTGTCACCTTTCTTTCTCCTACTACAAATAACCACTTCTACATTCTCTGCAGCCATGTTAAAGTATCTTTTCAGTAGTTTAACAAAGAAAAGATGCCATTATCTCATTTGACACACTGCAGAATCTTACAGGAATTTTATTTTCCTCCCCCATTCCTATCTCCTGACTTCCCACATAGCAAACTTCTACCCAACATTGGAGACTGAATTCAAAAGTCACCTCGTCTAGAAACTCCCCAAGCTGGTTCAGGACCTGACCCCTGAACACCTTCATCATCTGGAGCACACCTTTTTATGTACCTGTTGGTCATTTGTGTACCATTTTGGAAAATGTCTATTCAGATCCTCTGTCTATTTAAAATATAAATTTTAAAATGGATATTTCATGCTATTGAGTTATATGAGTTCCTTCTTTATTCTAGATATTAACCCCTTATCAAATATATGGTTTGCAAATATTTTCTAGCCTGTAGGTTGCCTTTTACTTTGTTGACTGTTTCTTTTACTGTGCAGAAACTTTTCAGTTTAATGTAGTCCCACTCATTCATTTTTACTTTTGTTGCTTATGCTTTTAGCATCATCTACAAATATAATTGCCAAGACCAATAACAAGGATATTTTTCTCTATGTTTTCTTCTAGGATTGTTATGGTTTCAGGTTTTACATTTAAGTTTTTAATCCATATTGAGTTATTTTTGCTGAGTGTGTAAGATAGGGGTCCAGTTTCATTCTTTGTATGTAGATATCCACGTTTTCCATCACCATTTATTGAAGACTATTCTTTTTCTCCAGTGAGTATTTTAGATTCGTCTGTCAAATACTAGTTGACCATACACGTGTGGGCTTATTTCTGGGCCCTTGATTCTGTTCCATTGGTCTGTATGTCTATTTTTATGCCAATACCACACTGTTTGATTACTATAGCTTTATAATATCGTGTGAAATCAGGAAGTGTGAAGCCTCCAGCTCTGTTCTTCTTTCTCAAGATTGCTTGGCTATTTGGGACCTTTTGTGGTTCCAAAAAAATTTTGGGATTGTTTTTTCTAGTTCTGTGAAATATGTCATTGAAATTTTGATATGGATTGCATTGAATCTATAGATCACTTAGGGCTGTATAGACATTTTAACAATATTAATTCTTCTGATCCATGAACATGGGCTATCTTTCCATTTGTGTCTCATTCAGTTTCTTTCATCATTGTCATCATTTTCAGTGTACAGATCTTTCACTTCCTTGATTAAATTTATTCCTAAGTATTTCATTGTTTTTGATACTATTGTGAATAGGATGGTTTTCTTTATTTCCTTCTCAGATAATTTGTTATTAGTGTACAGAAACACAATAGAATTTTTTTTAAAGATTTTTATTGGGGAATTAGGGGATGGGAGCAGCACTGGGGAATTGGGGGAAGGGGAACAGACAAGTTGCTGTCGTTTTGTTCTTCAGTCTAGTTGTGGAGGACATTGCTTCACTGGCC